CAGATCATCGGGCCTGTCAATGCATGAATGCTAGAAAGCACTTGGCATGATACGGGCTGTGATCTGTGCTGGGGAATGTCTTCTTTTTTCTCCAATCGTGATGTTGTTGTGAACCAATGAACAACCCTTAACATCTTCCGCCGAATGCTTGTCGCGAGGTGACGGAACCATAAAACATGGGGGCCGCGGCCCCGGCTTGCTTTCAAATTCAATGTTGTTGTTTTTGTTGACGCTTGGCACTGCGGAGCTAAGTGTGCTGAATTGAGCCGCCCAAGCCTATCTACCTGGCTCCTGGAGAAAGGCAGAAATAAAGATAGGAGTACGTCCAATTTTTTACTCTGATTGAACAGCACCCCCTTGTCTCGGACGGGACTCCCACGTTTGAAAGAATTCTTGAGCTCCCGCCCCACCATGTCCCCTGCTGGTCATGGGCCTGCGTGTGCGGCGCAGGTAAGAGAAAACTCAGAAACAACTACAGCAACTGAAAAGACAGCGTCCTTTGTCTCGGCCGGGACTCCCTCCAGGGTGTGCCCTCTCTCAGACCCGTCTTATCTCCAGTAAGTCCTTGCACGTGGCTGACAGGGATCCTTTCAGACCCTTTCTTGCGATCTTTTGCCGCGGCATGTCTCCCGTGTTTTTGCTTGCATGTATGCACAATTGTTTTATTTGGTTGCGCCCCTGCGTGTTGGTGACTTGAACACTTAAAACTTGCGCCTGGGAGTTTTGTTTACTTGCGCGAATCATTATGTAGCACACTAGCAGCCACAGCTTGCTGACGCTCGCAGGTTTTAGGCGAGCCGGGCCAAAGGCAACCTTTCAAGTGACGCAAAGCACTTGCCTAAATCGAAGATTGCCGGGCCGGCGGCAACCCTTGCGGAGGTAGTATGAAATGACTGTTGTTGGCCTATCTATAGTGTCCGCAGTTCCGGGGACTGCTATTGATATTGATGATGCCGATGGATGGGGCTATTGGCGCGGTGATGTCGATGGACAGGTTTGTGAGCAGTGGCTCCGTCAGGGAGTGGTTCCTAAACTCGGGAGGCCCAGCACATCACACCCTTTGGGCTGAAGGCTGGGTTCAGCCAAGTTGCTTTTGAATTTCAGTACTTTGTCCTTGCCTCGGAAAGAGCGTGCATTGTACAGTTTGCAGGCTTCCACGAGGCGCCAGCAGAACAGGAACCTTGCACGTCGGCACGCGACTCGTTTTGCCGCAATGGGCTTGAGTCGAGCGCGTTGCAACTTTGATCGCCGTCGATGCAAGGTGTTTTGCGGGCACTTTTTGTCGAAGTCTGGCAATGATTGTGCATCCACTTTGGCAGCAAGTAGAGCCATTTGGGCTTTAAGTCGTGCTTGCGCCCCATTTCGCGCAAATGGGCGGGGCCGGAAATGGGACCAGCCTGGTTCAGCCCCAGGCATTTCATGATAGCGCAGTGCGAGAGGGGATTCCAGGCACTGCACCAGGAACCTGTAGAGTCGCGACTTAAATTATACATTGAGCTGATGACCAGCATACTAGTAGCACGCATAGATACGTATGTCGCGTATGTTAAATTACATGACAGGGCCTAACTCGACTTGTATGTTGGTGTTCATGTCGCCTACCTTTGGCCGCAAGCAACTGTGACGCATGTGCTTCTGTGGTCATCTTAAATTTACGGACTGGACATTTAGTGTTTTGCATGCGTTGGTCTATACAAATGCTTCTTTGCGGCCCTCTGCCTTTGCTTGGGGCCAAGAAACACGTAGGTTGTTCAGCGGATATGGCGGCTACATGGAAAGCCTGGCCGTAGATGCGTTGAGCTGTCGGCCAAAGCCTGCCACAGGCATTTCACTTTGCCAAGAATCCAACAGCGGGGGATAGCCAAGACGACTGCATTTCGTTCTGCAGCGTCTCCAGTGGTGAAGGATGAAGGGCAAGGTTAGGCGGTTTGGATTTGATTAGTCTAAAGTTCGAGTCCAATGGAGCCGCAAACGGTACTGGCGGGATGTGCAACTCAGATCATCCTGCTAAAACATGGTCTATTCGGCCTAAAGCTTGGTCTATATATTCCGCTGTTACACAGGTTCAGCTTGTTTGGCTCACGAATCTCTAGAAGGACAGGGTGAAAGTGATCCCTATTGATGCGTATGTTTTGGCGTATTGAGATAGGGCAGATGGGAATCTCAGAGGAACCTCAGATGGACCTCGGACACGTCAGATGGACCTCAAATGGGCCTTAGATGAACCTCAGAGGAGCCTCAGTCAAACTTCAGATGCACCTGAGATGGGCCTCAGGTATGTCAGCTTAACTTCAGATAAACCTCAGATGAACCTCACATGGACCTCAGACAAGCCTGAGATGACAAACCTCTGTCGAACCTCACTAAAACTTCAGATGAACTTCAGACGAACTCACATGAAACTCGGATGAAGCTCAGATGAACCTCAGATGATGAAGCTCAGAGCAACCTTAGATGAACAATGTTTGACTTGTTGATTTGGCCATCGCTCCCTTTTGTGCGCTGCTGTGCAGCCTGATCTCTTGGCAAAGCTTCCCATTCCTGGGCGACTTGCTCGTAGACTCCGGAGCTCTTGCCGGAGTTTTTTGCGCAGGGGTTGGCCGGCCGTTGTTTGTTGTTGTGGCTATCATGCATTTACGTTTCCCAACGGTTGGGATGTTCAGACAGGCATTGTCCCTATCGGGAGGCCTCTTCAAGTCTTTAAGTGACAAGAAAATAACAACAACATGTTGCGTGTTGTCAACCAAAACATGCGGGCAAGTCGAAACGACCTTTCTTTGACGACGGTTCCTTGCATCTTTTGCTTGTTGGGATCATTTGTTTGTTGGGTTCAATGACAATGACAGGCGTTCGATTCACATCCCCGTGCTTGCGAGACACACTAGAAGTCCGTTGCAGATGGGACCATGTCTGTCTAGAAATATGAAATGCGGATGTGGGTATGTCTTTTGCTCAAGGTACCCTGTTTGAGTTTGGGTTGCTTGAAAGTTTAACCTACAGGAAACCAGCCATGTATGAAATCACAGACACGCACATCGTCTTATTTGAGACTGCCGTTCTACTCTTGGGTTCAGATTGTCAGTTTCCACGGCCCTTGTGTCGCTGTGACAGGGGGGCGTGCAACATGATTGTTGCCAAGCTAAGTCACAAGGCAGACCTTGGAAGGAAGAGACGTCAGCCATTGACGTCATTGCTTCGAGTTATTTCGAGATGGCCTGCCAACCCGTTCCTGTTTTTTCTTCAGCGGATTGTTCAATGGTCCCACCTCTGTTGCCTAGTGCAACTTTGGGTCGGAACACCTACATTTAACTCGCTGATTGCTCCCGTCGGCTCCCGCATGAGCTGGCTTCTTATTCCCACCCCACCTGCAAAATACTCTTAGAGCTAGCAGTAATTTTGGGTTTGTCTTGTTTGTGAGAGTGATGACTTGCACGCATGTACGACGCGGCGTTTTTTGAGGCCTCAGTTGCATGTATTGGGTTGTGCCAAGTCAAGATGCTGCTGTTTTTTGTTTTGCCTGGGGCTATCGTTGTCTTGGGCGCTGAATTATTGCACCAACGGGTGGAAGATCTTATCATTTTCTCGGGTAAGAGAGAAAGAGAGAGAGAGGAACAAAAATAGTAAAAGGCCGACCCGTTTTGCAGTAGCGGAAGTCAAAGATAAGGCAAGGACGGAAGTCCCTCAGGTTCCCATTTAAGGTAAAAGGAATGTGTATTGCTTGCAACGGGGTAAATCAATCTTAGAGATGGGTCCTTCGGGGGAAGCTGCCTAGGTGTTGAGCTCCCTGCGAAGCCCCGGATTAGCCTCCTTTGGGGGTGGGGTAGCACCTAGGAAGAGTGCAGAGATCCAGAAGGCAGGACTTGTGGGTAATCACGAGACTGGTGTCAAGTAATAATGAAAACAGACGAGCAGTTTGATGGCAAGAGGATAATCATAGAACATTTGGGACATAATGCTCCATTACTGGCATTGGCGTTTTCGTAGTAGCTTTGTGTCATGGTTTCGTCATTATGCCACGGTCTCACTGCATTGCTTTGGAAGTGATTGCACCTTAAGAGGTCGTTAATATGCAGAGATCCAGTTTGCCTACCTGTGTCAGTCAGCCAAGCTTGTGTCTCCGGAGCCATTTCGGGGTGAAAGGCCTCAACTAGGCCTATACGGTCTGTGCCGTAGTTTGATCGATTCTGAATGATTCAGTTCAGTTTGGCAGGCGTGAGGTACGTCGGAAGTGATGGTCCGGTTCGACGGCTTGAGACACTTGGTTGTGAGTTTCTGGGCCTAGCACCCAGACTAGTGGCCCCGTTTCGCCTTAGGTTGCCGCGCCAGTTCAGCCACGGACCCACATCTGTTGACTCTCATGCCTTGCCTTCCGAGCTCGGAGCCCTGGCGATGCCGCTTTTAAGCGTTATCGGACGCTATCGGTCGAATGCCGAGAGTCAGCCATGAGCTTCGCTTGATTGCCTGAGCGTACTGAAAAAGGGAAAACGTGAAAGGCGGGTGCGGCACGCGGTGGAGAAAGCCTGCCTCTGAACTCTGGCACTGGCTCTCTCAGGGCGCGGTTGATGAAACTCGAGTGATTCTGGCTCGGGACCTTGTTTTGCAGACAGATTGCAGATGTGCTAATCAACAGCGAGGTCAGGGTTGGACATGAACTGAAATGGGTAATTCCTTCCTAGCAAAGGACCCCCTCATTACTCGGCATGCGTCAGGTGGAAAGCACCCATTTCCACGCACCCAGCATTTGGGTGGTTTTGCTGTTGGTTTTCCTTTACCATGAACAATGGTTAAATGGGTGTACCCTCCATAGCAACCCCTGTGGATGCCTGAAATATTGCTAGTAAACCTACCACACACCTTCAAACCCGGCAAATCCATGGGGTAAACTCCAGGATTTCCCGGCTCCCCTGCAAGACTGATTCACGAAATCCATTTCGCAGCTAAGAATTCACGAAGCATCGCAGCATCGCTGTTGGTTGCGGGGAATCGCATCATTCCGCGAGGACGCCGCAGCTTCCAGCTCCAACGTGAGCTTCCTGGACTTGGATCTCGATGAGTCCCAGGCGGACTTGGGAGCACGCATCGGATTCATGAACACGTGTACGATATCTGCATCTGCACGTGTATCATTCGATTCACGAATATACAGCACAATACAGACTGTTATGCGTATATATACATATTAATATATACACAAGTCATTTGATGTTTACGCAAATAAGAGCCAATATCGATCAACAGGCTAGATTGTTTTACCATGCATGGTAGTTGTGTATTTGAATTTACGGCTGGTAGGAATACTTCCTTTGGTCTGAACTGAACCACTGGTCCGTGTAGCGGACGATTCTCTCTCCCATGTTTTCGCCGTTCCCGTTGGATCCCGCTTGCCACTATGGTGGCTAAGGAACAAAAGCAATGGTCAATTTGCATTTGAGGATCCATTCCGGGTCACTGACTGCCTGCTTGGCAAATCGTGGGTCTGGTTTTGCCTGCATATGGACCCCTCAAAAAAAGGACCCGCAGGGCTTTTCAGAATCCTTCTACTTGCAAGGCTTGTAAGGACTCAGATTCTTAGCGCCGTCAGCTGCGGGCTGTGTGGAGCCTTTGGCTTCTTTCCATAGGCTCCCCTTGCAGACCCAGAGCTCGCACAACCTGGTTATTTAACCTTCGCTGTTTTGACAGGACAGGTGGGTGTCACGAGCCCTGTAGGGATCCTTTGCATGTTACATTGGCCTTGATCCTGAACATGTCGACGGAGGTCTTGGCGGGAACTGGTCTTCCCCTTCATAAATGTCCGAGTACCTCATCATCTCTCAGAGCTCGTGATTCCTGACGTTCAATACACAAATGTTGTCGGCCACTTCACTATTTTCCTTTTCTAAAGGCTGGTGGTTCTTTCCTGACGCCGACGTTATTGCATTAGTTCAAGGAGCACCGAGCTCTGACAAACGTGCATCTAGTTGTCAGGCAATTGAGTTGGCACAAGGCCCTTTGCGAGCAAGTTTCTGACCCAAGGGCCTTTGTACAGCTCGTTTTCACACCTTTCCAGCCCAGTGGATCCCGGGAAGCCATGGGCCATTTTCAGTTTTTGAAAGGGTTCTCTTGGCCACCTGGACATGGTTTTTGTTGGGAACCATTTTTTTTGCTTTTGTGGTATAGTGGTTGAAATCCAACCACTTCACTGCTAAAGTTGTTTTTTGCTCCCCTTCCAACGTCAACCAAGTGGAAGTGGAACTGGCTCCCGAAGGGGGCGTCCTAAGGTGGCCGGCAACCTCACCTGGTTTGAGCCGGAGGACATCTCGGCATCTCGTTTGACAGGCGTCGAGACAAGGAATGGGCTCAATGGAAACTGATGTGTCCTCCAACAGCCAGCTTTTTTCTATTTTTTTTTTTCTGCTGTAGCGTACAAATATGAACAGAATCAGAGAATAGTAATTTCTTTTGGGGTGATCACCCCAGATGGGGGCCAAGAAATTAGCGATCTGACAAGCACACAACTGCCTTGAATTAGTTTTGAGAGGACATGGGGGGCCGCCCCGATTTTTTTTCCGCAGCAGGGGGCTGGCCAATTTCACATGCCCTTTTGGGGGAAGCAAGCAATTGAAAGTTCCAGTGTGCGACAGTTTTACGCACAGCACAGCACTTGCAGGGAGTGTTGTCAATGGAGATTGGGGATACGTAGGGCAAGAGTGCCCCTTTTTGGGTGGTTTTTAAAGAGTGCCAAACGAAAAAGTTGTTCTTTTTCTTTTGGGCGGGGTGGGGGGGGAAGTACTGGATACCAAAGGGCAACTCTGCTCCGCTCCTCCGGTCGCAAGGAAGCTTTGTCTAATTCAGTGATTGAGTTGGGTGGTTCAAGTCAAAGCGCCAGGTGTCAATCCAGAACCGATTTCCGCCAACTTTGTAGGGTTGTATTGACTCTGTGAAGACTGCGAAGGGTGAATCTGGTTTCCCAGGATTTGTGGCATTGCCCTTTTCGCAAATGTCCAATTGCCAAATCGTTGGCAGTTGGCTTTGGTTCAAACTCGGCCAAGCTCAAGGCTTAGGATCCCTCAAATGTTAAGTTCTAGTTATTGCTGACATGTCAGCAAACAAACCGCGCATCACAGATGTGGAAGGACTACAGCGTTTGAACTACCGTCAACCTACCGTCGGATTGTCAGGATTGGTAGCCATTTCTACTCGACTAGAATCTGCCTATATACATACATATATCTGGTTATCCTTGTTTGTGAATTCGAAAGGACAGTATACATTAAATTCGTTGCGGGACAAAATTACTCCTGCATTGGCAAGTAAGTTGTAAGAGCTGGAAAGCAACGATTTCCCACGGATTCCAGTGAAAGGCGCAGGAGATGTCCGTTGCACATCTGGAATATGTGCTTTATGGTCGCTCAGGATATCTCCGAGTACACCATCTACATGGCCACGGATCGTCTAGGTTCCAACAGAACATATCTCGGCCACTTGTCAGCAGCGCAGTTTTTTTCACAAGGTTTCAGGCAAATCGTGGAAATTTGGAATCAACACATTGCCAAAGAGTGATTTTTTCAATGCCTCCTTTTGGGCCTGAGCGGAAAGTCGATCAAGAAAGGGCCAACGGCTCCCAAACATATCCATGGTGAAGCGTTCAATTGGATACTTGCTCTTGACGGCTGTAGGTCTCAGACTCGTTCCGCACATCTAAGTGGGCCTGAGAAAAGGACGTAGCAGGAATTGGGTGGCAGGCAGGGCGCTGAGCAAGTCCTTGGTTCTTCAGTTCTGAAACGCAAACAAGTTAATTGAATGTTTTTTTGATTTCAGGATGCTGTCTTGCGCAACTCGGGGCCGAGCCGCAATCTCAATCCCACTCACCTCTTGGGTGTGCGTGTCAAGGCAACGTCAGCGCTGGCAGCAGCACCTTCTTCGTCGAAGAAGCTTGGCACAAACCGCGAGTAAGGCAGCAAGTCGTAGGATGTGTCTCGAATGTCCAGTCAACCTTCCGGCTTTTCATTGTGATTGCTTTCCATTTGGACTTAAGCTTTCTGATCCACAGCAAGACTATGCTATGTAAAATGGCCCAAGTCGATGCTTGATCACACATACGTATGTACGCACGTATGGACTCTTATATTGTTGTTGTTTAGTTTGGCTTCCTCATGTCTCATTTCGGTGTCGGGGCATCGGTGGGCAGGGATAACCCTCCCATTGCAATTTGGAGCATTTGTCGCCTTGATAGCATCAGCGCAATGTTCAGCTTGCCACTATCCTCCGTTTCTCAACGCTTAATGAAGCAGTGGTCTCGCTGGCGTTGCAACTGCGTCAATCCAGAGAAAGAAACACCATGGGGATAGAATTAATCTTGTCCCACAGGCATGTTTGGTTTGAAGGGGAAAGCATCCTCCGGGCTATTCAAGCTGGATTGAGATATCTTCTATATGTATTATATGTAGGTTTGCTTTTGCTTGCGACTTGGTGAATTTGATTCTCTTACAGGCGGCAGATGCTGTTTCATGCCCGGGATTTGAAGCTGTAGTCAAGTCGTCACGCATCACGTGTTTGGCTTCCGAACCAGCCAACCAATCAACTAGTGAGTCACATTGTTGCAGAGCGTAAGATGGCGCCAGCATTTTTAAAGAACCCCAGAAGGGCGATAGCGTAAATTTCCGCGGGTAGTCCCAGTTGCAGGTGCCAACTCCAGAGAAGTGCCGAGTTTAGGGAGCTTTCTTGGCCAGAGTTCTGGTTGGTTTGCAGTGAACATTGGAGGGGTATTTGTTTTTCCGCTTTTGGTTTCTTGGCTTCTTGGCTTTTTGGCTTCTCGGCTTCTGGGCTTTTCGGCTTTTTGTTGGTTTATGCGGCTTTTGATGGCTTTTTGGCTTTGGCTTTTCGCATCCTCTGCTTTCACAGTTCCTCTCTGGGCCTTTTGGCTTTTGCACCCTTGGTTTTTGGATTTGGCTTCCCGCATCATCAGCATCACCAGTTCCACCCTGGGGGGGAAGCCCCCGCCCAACCCACCCGCTAATGTTTAGATTGTTTGCAGAGTAATTGCACCCCTATTTGAATCAATACTTCTTCAAACCTCATGGGGGGGGCTGCCGCCCCCCCCAACCCCCCCGCTACTGTTTAGATTTCTTGCAGAGATTGAATTGCACCCCTATTTGAATCATCACTTTTCCGAGCATCCAAGTTCGCGAAAAATGCTGCAAAATACGATATTTTAGGTAATCTGTGTAATCCCTGTATGTCTGTATATATGTATGCACTTCTTCGAACATCATAGGGGAAGCCACCCCCGCCAACCCTCCCGCTGCCTTTTAAATTCTATCGCACCCTTTCTTGAATCATTGCACCCCTACTTGAATCATCACTTCTTCCTACATCATGGGGGGGGCTGCCGCCCCCCCCAACCCACCCGCTACGTTTTAGATTTTCCGCAGAGATTAAATTGCACCCCTAGTTGAATCATCAATTCTTCGAACATCATGGGGGGGCTGCCGCCCCCCCCCCCAACCCCCCCCCCCACTTTATCATCAGTTCTGCGAACATCATGCGGGGGCTGCCGCCCCCCCCAACCCCCCGCTACTTTTCAGTGACTTTTTTGCAGGGACTGAAATGCCCTGAATCATCATTTGTTTGACCCCGTCAACCCGCCAGCTACTTTTTCCATTTTGTTACCAACAAATGATGCTAGGGATGTTGGCCGAACATGCGGGGGATGTTGAACACGATGCTGGGGATGTTGACGGGCTAGTGTAAAATGCTTCAATTTCTCGAGAAAATGCTGTAAAATACGATATTTTACTGGCCCGGACAAAAAAATAAAAAAAAACGAAAAAAAAAAGAACAACAAAAACAGAAAAACAATCCCGAAATAAATCCGCACCCGTGAACATTTGAGCTTAAGCCCTCTATCGGCCAACTATTGAGAAATTATGTGGTTCTTGTACCTGGTTTAATTGGGACTTATATTCAGGCCTATGTATGCCTTTATACCATGTTAGAAGCAAAAGTCAATGGGTCTTGGGCGCTGGTCATGTAGTGAAGCGACTGGAGGCGGCTTGATTCTATGTCGCAGCCTAGGATGTAGGACATGTAAGTCACTGGCATGGGAATTTGTTTTGTGGCATTTTTGTATCCAACCGGCGAGGGAAGTTTGCAGCAGTCAGCCAAGGACAACACCCCGCTGCTGTCTTTCACACACTTCCTGGTCTACTCCAGGCGTGTATGACTAGAAATCCTTGCATGTTGCAGTCTGTGGAGGGACAATTGAGTTTGTCTCATTGTTTGTTCAGGTTGGTTTTCCTCTGGAATTTCTTTTACCAACCGTCTGAACAATGATACCCTTCAAAAGACATACCCGAATTCCTAGTCGGCTGTCGGTCGAAACCAGCCCTTGGACCATGGCGGCATTGCAATTTTCGTGGGCAGATGCTGCAGTTGCACGAGCCCCAGTGAGCCAGTGTTCCCTTCAAGGTGCAGGCTCATCTCAAAATGGGTCTTTGTTCTTGTGAGGGCGCTCTTTTCAGGAATGTTTAAGGGGAAACCAGAAAGCCACCGTTTGGGCAACCTTATGACTTTGACACATACCCACTTGCCAAGCGGGCCTGGAGGAGCGGTGCAAGCCTTTGGCTGAGGTTTTTGGTGCCCGAATCGATCCCACGTCAGGTTTCCAAGGTGAAGACTTGGGGTGCGGGCCAATTGCTTGTCCTTAGGTTGAACATAACACGTATTCTACTGGTTTCCATTAGGTTCGTATTATTTATCAGTACGGCCATTTCGTCCTAAAGATACTTTTACCCTTGGGCAGATGCCAAGGATTTGTTTGTTGCCCAATTCGTCCAAAAGGGACGCAGGTCCTCTCTAGTGGAGCAGACCACGCCCTCAGCTGTGCTCATCGTGGACGTGCCGCGGCCGGATTCGACTGATTCGAGTCGCGGGGTTAGACCTCGCCCCGAAGGTTCCTGGGTGTGCCTCTTTGGGGGTAGCCCCTTTTGGATTTCAAGGAAACCAAAAGGACACCAGCGTTTTGCGGGTCGCAAAAAAACAAACAGAGTAGGGCACCCCCACAGTTGTTGTTTCCCGTTCCCATACTTTTTGGTAAGATCATTTGAGTGCAAACCGCAAGTTTGGACGTCTTTGGGCCAAGCCGGTCCTGAGATTTGTCTATACGGGAACCCATTTCAACCATGAAGATTCTTTTTGGGGGTCCCTCAGATTGGAACGGAGTGCAAAACGCCCCGAGGGGCTCCAAGCATTCGGAAAGGCCCACAGTCAGCTCGCTGAAACCTGCTGAAACTTTATGGTTTATGGGTGAGCACGCCGATTGCGGGGTACCCTGATCAAAGAAGTGCACGGTTTTCGGACGACTACCTTCCTCTTGAAAAGGCCCCTTGTTCACTTCCATGATTGTTGGAATAAGGATTCAATGAGCCACCCAGGCCCCCCCCCCGTTTTCCCCATGTCCAAAAGCCCGAGTGCCGTCCAAAACTCAGTTGTTGGGGGGTGCTGGATGAAGGTCCCTTACTTGCGGTTCCAATTCTGATTTCAGGTTTCGGAGTGAATTGGCAGATAGCGAGAGCTCAGGCGCTTAGCGACATTTCTGTCCTCCACATATTTTAACCTTGCCATTGGTCTGCAACGCGACAGCCTGACAGAACCTCCGGATTTCCCCAGCCTAGAAATAGTCGGCATCTCCTTTTCCTGAAGACCACGAAGCTACACCGCAAGGTACTTCCGGTTCCCACTTTTGTTTCTGGAATATGCACGGGGTTGGAACACATTTATTAGAACAAAGCGCGCGTACCTATTAGGAAACTGATAGTGGCCGACAAAGATATTTGGTGTAGTTGCTGTTGCTTTGGGGGCCGGAGCATAGGTGTCCTTTTTAGGTTAGTTTGATTAAGAATAGATGGCACTGGTTTAGGTGGAGTTTCTTCCATTCACCAGGGCCATCTATTTTTCCAGAAGGCCACCTATGGGCTGGAGTGATTCACTCCTTTCTGCGGACCTTGGCATGGCTGCCCGCCGGCACTTGTCTCCCAAATCACAGGAAATGAAGCCTTAGTCCTCACGCCTATGGCAGTGGTTACCCGTGTTGTTCTGGTCCCCTAACGGATTGCGGGTTCTAACCGCATGTGAACAACCAAGTTGTTAAGAATCTCGCTTGCGGCCTTTCCTTTTTTTTCCTTCCTCCCTCCCTCCCTTTCTCCCTGGACTCCCTCCCTCCCTTCCTCCCCACATGCCTTCCTTCATTCCTTCCTTCTTCCGTTTTTTTCTTCTTTTCTTTCATCCTTAGCCTTGTGTCTCCCCGCCACACTTGTAAATTGAGAATTGATAGAATATAGAAAACGATAGGGGCCCTGATAGGGCACTCACAAACCAAGCAACGAAACAGCCGTGAGTAAGGTAATTTCGACTGCCTCATATGGGCGTGTCTCTGTTTTGGGGAAATGCTGGGACCCCCCTAAATGGAGTTCGGTGCTACTTTTGGGTCTTTTCTTTGGGGACCCCCGAAAATGTTTTTTTTCCGCTTTCCTTTTGAGGCATCCCTTTAAACCAAGGGGTACCCGAAGCCACAGGCTCCGATCGCTAAGGTAAAGGCGGCAGTCGAGGCCCTCGGCTTCCAGGAGCGATGACTTTCTTTTTTTCTGGGGCGGCCAACTCTGGGGAAAACTTGCTTCTAGTTGCGGAAATGAATATGTTTGATCTTCCCGTGATTTTCTGTGCTGTTTTTTTTCCCCTCGGACTCTAGCACTGGACATATTGGTGTGTTGTTTTTCCTTTTTTTTCCGGTGGGCTTAAGCAAATATGTAAACAACAGGGTTGGTGCAAACACGTGTGCCAACCGGGCTCGAAAGCAACTGGCTTCGGGGGTAAGCGTGTTGTTTGTTGCTTAGTGGGGTGATTCGTGCTTTTTTTTCCAGTTTTTTTTCCCCATGTCTTTGGTCCGAACCTGTTTCTTACTCGGAGGACTTGGACCTGGACGCTGGCGAAGTTGGGGGCGAAGTGTCCTGGGGCCCTCCGCAGGCACGTCGACCTCGCAGTGGATTGATCCACAACCCGTGTTATAGCCCGCGCTTGATTACTAGGGAGGAGGTAACTGCGCTTGGACATCTGAGTGGCTTACAACCTACTAGCCACTTGCTGATCAACAACGCCTGCTTGATTGCGCGGGGGTATCCTATTTCAGAGGCAATCCTTCATTTTTGGGGGAGCGCATGCCCCCCCATGTATCTGACAGGTTGATCAATGCAGGGTGCAGCAGAAGTCCAACAGTTGGCCAGCCAAAATGAAACCACGTCCAGGCCACTTGCCAGTTGCCACTTGCCTTTTGCTACTTGCCACTTCCCATTTGGGCACAATGACAATGGTTTGCCAGCAAAATGATTTTTGCAGACAAGACGGGATGGGAGAAGGCTGGAATTCGAGGTGTGTGGAAGCGTGTTCACGTTTTTGTACGGAGGGGGAGGCGGAAGCGTTATTCATGTCAAACGAGGCTAGGCTTCATAAAGAAGCATGGGAGACATGGAGACATGGCAGTGTTGATCGAGGTTGGGCACATGCACACATCGCATCCCAGTTCGGAAAGTGAATAGCTTGATATTAAGTGCAAGGTAGGCGCAAGGTGCGCGCGCTGTCAGCACTACATAGTGGCATAGCGAATTGGTGGTTCGGTGCCATTCCTGCTCTTTGAACTGAGCATAAATTTATGGCTCGCTTGGAAAGCCGTTCAACCGACCAATCGGTCTGTACTCTTGCCAGATGTTTCGAATCTGTAAAGCCGAGCTTCGGGAATGATTGACTCATAGCTGACGCTTCTGCAACGCTGGACTGGTGCTCAACAACACCTGGTGCTATCACTCTCTGAGCGTATTGTCGTCGGCCGTCAGCTCGCGGGTTCTTACTCCAGAAGCGTGCTATGCGGCGCGTAGCTCGTTATTGAGGCCTTTGAGGCAGAGCATGTGTCGCACTGTGTTCTCCTTGCTGAAGTGTCTGATTCCAAATCAACAGACCAGATATCCAGTCAATCCAGGCAAGCAGACTTTTGGTATTGGGACTGCTCTCTTCCGGGCAGTATATCAACCCGCATGGCCCCGATGTCCGACCCCATAGATTCCTCAAACTCTTTCCTTCATCGTCTTTCTGGGCCATCGTCTGTCCTCAAATTCAAGTTTGGTTCAAAGGAAAACCTTGGGCAAAGTAACCAAACCTGCGCCATTCTTTTCAGGCGCTCCGTTTTTTTGGAGTTTCACGAGCAATCCTTGGATTCGTGCTTGAACACGTTCGCCCGAGCCGCGGTGCGCCAGTCGGGCCTGGAACAAGTCAGCGGCTACGGCGTGTACCTCGCCGCGGACACGGAGGGCACCGGGCGCAGCAAGGCCTGTTGGACCGACCTACAGCGAGGATTCCCCAAGGGGCCAGACTTCATTTTGCCGTCGCTTTACCAGCTTATCTCCTGCAAAAACGCGAGACTTTTAGCTACTGGAAGAAAACTATGAAAATATTTAACTGGAATAGGATGCATGACCTGGATTTCATGGGTTCCATTTTCCCCTACCTTAGGTTGGTGGATGCCCCAGAGTTCAAACTTGTCCAGAAAAGGCCACCTAAGTATGCCCCTTTAGCTATTTGGGCATCCTGGTTGACCGTTGGCTGCAGGTTTGACTGGTGGCTGGTCGGGGGTGGCGATTGAGTGATTTATGCTGGTTATGTCAGTGTTGCTGTGGCAGGCAGCTCTTGCACACTGATGCAGGGTCATGCAAGGGCCAAGAACTGCCGATGCTTATTCCGACTGGTTTGTCAAGGGAAGCCAAACTGAGGGGATTTTTGAAATGGGGCGCAAGCTGATCAGCCGGACAGAACAATTAAGGGAAGGTCTGCAGTCCCAGCCACAAATAGGTGCGGCCGCCTGCTTGATTCTTTGAATATTGCCCAAACCCCCTTTGGCCATTTTAGTAGGTGGTTGTACTGGTTTCATCAAGGTCGTGGTAAGGGCTAATACAAGCCTTGATGACGATTGCTGTTGATTTGCTGCCCCTCCAGTCTTAAAGTTGTCAAGGGTCATATATATATATATATATACATACTTAAATTTATATATTATATATATGTTGTTTTTCAATTTATTAAAGCACAAGTTTGGTAGTACCAACGCAAGGCATGCTTGCAGAACCAAAAGTCAGCTGGGGCGCCACACCAGGTCTCCATTGAGGCGGTTGGCACTCATGAAACCACGGTGCCAGACAGCACGGCAGCTTGGATCGAGCTGAAAAAGGGAGGATGGATTCCACCCGGAAGGAGGCGGGAAGACAAATGTGCTGGCTGTTCTGATGAGACTTGTTGATTGATCTTCTGTTTCCAGCCCATCCATTGTACTTAGAATGTGCGGAAAAAAACAACGTACTTAGCAAAAGTACTGCCGTATTTTTGTAAATGCAGAATGCCCTTGAACAAGGCACTGATTACCTCTAACAGCCGAGGGAATTCAAAGCAGGGTTGGCAGCAAGTGCAGCTGGGGGACACACCGACTGTCCCCCGTCCAAAAAAATCTGTGTTTTGCGTGCGTGCGCGTGTGCCGTGCGACGCGCGCAGCTTGTGTTACTACGTGTCACTTGCATGTCACTGTGAGTGTCACCTGCGTGTCACTTGCATGTCACTTGAGTGTCACTGCATGTCACTTGCGTGTCCCACGCGTGCCGCCGCATGTCCAAATCCCAGGGGCTGTTCAATCAGCAGCCATTGGGGGAGCAACATTTTGGGGTGATATCTATGGCTGGCCGTGAAGACATGCCGGGCCAGCCGGGCAACAGGCGGGAGCAACCGCTGTAGAAAGCCAAGGGCTACAGGAGGCAGCGCTGCACAGCTTTAGCCCATGTGTTTTGGACATGAGCTCGGGGTTTGGCATTGGGAAAAACGAGTTTTGGCTAAATGCGGAAGTACCTTCACATGGACGGTTGTCGAATAACGGCAATTAGTTGGAGGGCGCTGGTTTGATGGGTTTGACAGTGGATCCAGGGCAGCCCTGGGTTCTTGGCGCGGTTCAGTTGCCATTCTGTCAGCCTGTCGTCCCTAGCTTTGCCATGATGGGCCTTTGCCGATTCCATTCTTTAGTTTGTACTTTCAACGCGGGCCATTGAGTTTATTTCACTTTCTTCACCGCCCCCTCCCCTTTCATGTGGAGGCTGGGGGTGGGCCCGACCCCAATCGACGCTGTTGCGCTGAGGCGGTGGGGAGCTTTACGCATGTGCTGGTCTACTCGCGCTCGGAGGTCTTGCAGCAAAGCACGCCCTCCTCCACGCTGATCTCAGATGTGTCTGCACAGGCGGGTTTGTGCTTCCCTCTTGGTGGTTTGGAGGGTACGGGATGGCTTCCCATTTACCCTCTAATTACAAGAGCCAGGGGTTCAAGTCGTCAAACCGCCGTTCCATCGTCAATTCAGGGCTACCTGAGGGTTTAATGGTTGGTCTATGGCATGGTTCGGCCAGTTTCTGTGATACCTTAAGGCAAATTGAAGTGAAGTCATGGAATCTGCCACAGGGGGTTGGGGACAGAGGGATCACGGTCTGTTGATCCAACCCTCTGGGTTCCTTTTCACCATTTGGTTGCGGTGTGACATCTTTTGGTTGCGGTGTTGCGGTGCAAAGAAATGAGCTTCCCGGTGATAATTCGTCAAACGGGGCATGCAAAGAAAACAGCCCTGGATGTTTTCGAATTTGGTTCCTGACACGTGCAGTGCCCTGAAGGAAAAAGGAGACAAGACAGGGCAAGGCAAAGGGCCTATGGTTCTGGTCACACCCTCCCCTGCGCGCGCACCCATGGAATTATAAATCAGTGCGGCGAAGACCATGGATCGTTTGCAGTGAGTTTCGCAATGGCATCTCGGTGTCCAGAGCATTCTAAATAGGGTGTCCTTTTTGATGGTACTCCTTTGGTGAGCAGAAACACAAACCCAAATGTTGTTTTGGGATTAATCACCCCCTTCCAGATCGATCGGGGATTTCTGTGGCAGTGAATTTATATAATTCGAGTAAACCCCTTGCTGCTGCTACTATTGCTGCTGCTGTTTGACGGCAGGATTCGAGGATGGCTTTCTGTGTTGGCTTTCTGTGGTTGGTGGTAAATATTTTTTGATTTGGGCGTGTGTGTTTCAGCAAGCTGCTGGCTATTCACACGTGTGTTTACAACTTCTGCTTCTGCGGCTACAAGCCAATGGATTTTGATCCTCAGAATCGATGGCGGGGATTGAGGCATCCGTTTCCGAGTCAAGCGGCTCGTGCAAGGGATCAATCAGTTCCTGCCAAGAACTCTCTTTGGTTTAGTCCAGTGTCCAGAGAAGGACACACCAATAGTGGCAACCAATTCCATTGGCAAACGCCCAGAGCGCACACGGGCAGCCAGCACCAGCCAGCGCCAACAGCACTCCTACCAAGGCATCAAACCCCAAACCCATGTTCTTTCCGAGAAACCATCCTTTGTTCTTCGTGGGTTACATGTAAATCTGGGAACGTCAGGTCTCAGCGGTGGAATTCTTGGACCTGGACCTGGACGCCACCGAGTTGGGCGGCACCTTGCGACCCAGCAGTGAATAGTGAGCTTGTCGCGCTTGTCGCTCGAAACGCGTGCGCCTAAAAACGCATGGGGTGGGGCAATTTGAAAGGCACTTTGAAAGCAAATGAAGCCATTATCATAAGAAAAGCATGCGTATTGTTTTCTTTTTTAGGCCTTCAGCCCACGTGTACTGTGTTCTCAGAGGGAAGCCGCACGGGAATGTGTGGTTCATGTTTGCAGACCGCTTTGTAGCACCCGGCTCGCGCTGGCTGCCAGCCGGAAGTTTCTCAGGCATGCCAAGGGTTGGGAAGATTCATTTCAACAAGTAGCTGGGCGACATTGAAACCCTCAATTTCGAGTCTTGGGAACACGCAGCACCGCGCAAAGTAAATGTTTGACTTCTGGTAAAAGGAAGCGAAGAAGAAGGCCGTGCTTGGAACATTACTTGGCCCGGTGTTTGGGATTCGTTGTTAGTTTCACTTGTTTTTCATCGGTTCTGGAGACAACAGGCATGTGCTCCGCCTGAATGGTGCCAAATCATAGTCTTCCCTTCTTTGTCATTTGTTTTTACCAAACACGCCAGTTGCGGTGCACGGAAAGGCTGAGCGGGTCCCTGACAGTGGGCGACAAGGCATTTTGCGGATAGGGGACCCGGACTCAACGGGTTCCAACAAACCAAGCGGTTCCGATCGCTTTGAAGGACAATGTGTGTTTTACATCCGAAAGGAACCTTTTTTTGCTAGAACCTATTGAACGGGGGAAAGCCAAATTGAATGATTGCGACCATCAGTCCGAGACGTCGGGTCAGGGACTGGTCACGTCAAGCCTCTCAACATTCCAGACTCAATTCTGGGGCCACAACTTGAGGGTAGCCTTCTCGCCTTGATTTACAGGGAAGCCAACAGCAATAGCAGTTTTACCTAAGCAACTCTGAGCTTCCATGACTCAGCAAGATTTTGGTGCACGGAGTTGTCATTCAGGGAGGCCTCCTACCGCCAAAGATTGCAATGTCTGGGTTTAGTGTCGGCCTATACCTTCCATTTGCTGACATGAATGTGTTTTTGTTCTTTTCCCCTGTCGGTTAAATTTTAAGGGGAATCCATATGACTACTGCATTTGTGATTCCAGGGAGCTGAAGCAAATGGAAGATACCAAGCTTCTCCGGAGCAAAGGGACCAACTCGGTCGAGGCTATGGAGCCCACCGGACACCACATACATCGCCAGCTATTCGGCCTACCTCTCCTCTTTCTGTCGCGGCCTCAGGGGATCTGTGAGGTCCCACATGTTTTTGTTTTTTTTTTGAGGGGGGAGGATGGTCCCAACCCAAAACCTTGTTGGCCTCAATCCCTGGTGCTTTGTAGGTATTTGTGTTAGGGAATATTTGTTTAGACCTCAAATGTTTCCCAAAAGTTTGATTTTCGCCAAAGGTTTCACATAAATCGCACCCGTCAGAGAACTTAGAACTTCCAGTCGGTGCAACTCAGGCCACACGAGGGCACAAGTGATGCGCTTGAAACTTGAACAATTTAACAACAAGCTGCAAATTGACTTTGTCCTGTTGTGTTCATTGGCCGTGTTTGTCGCCGTCCTCATCGTCCTCATCATTCTCAGCATTTTATTGGTATGATCCTTCTTTTTCCCTTTTTCCTATTCTTTTTGTTCCTCACATGGTTTCATTTTTAAGTGTCTTATAAATGTTGTGTGTTGTCGTGTTGGTGCCGTTCGTCTGTCAGGTAACGGCACCAACGAAACCGAGGAGTCGATGCAGGGCTGTCGATTTTTCCCAGGCTTCAACTGGGTCCCTCAACGTGGAAAGGTATTTGTTGTGGGTTCTCCTCCACCAAACAAGGACTAGACATGGAACAGAGTCCGAACATATCATTTTCTATGACCCCAGATGTCTAGGGATGACCCGGAGCCGTTCCTTGAACCATTCGGACGTCACTTGAACGGACTCAGTGGCACCTGTCAGCTTTTGGGCCCCTTACTTGCCGTTCCGGCCCTTCAGGGCTATGAGCCTTTCCAGACCATGACAAGGGACATGATCCACCAGTTAGAGGCGACTCGAGTTGCCATGCGACTCGAGTTCTGTGATTTCCTTTGTAAACGACATGCCCAATCCAACCTCGCATGGCCTGTGCAAAATCCTACGAGCCGCAGACAGTTGACCGCAGATAGCCAGGTTGGACATTGTGTCGCTCTCCTTAAACCAATTGTCCTTTAGTGCGAGCCCGCAAATAATCCTTTGAAACAATCCTGGGATTCAAATCCACAGTCAATGGGTTTGAAACATATCTCCTCCGTATTAGGTCTGTGGCTCTGCACCAAAGTCGGCAATTGAACGAGCTGCTTGCGCATCATGATAATCTTGGGATCCGTTATGTCCGGTTTGTAGTTGTGCCGTAGGCACCACGGTCATGACAAAGAGGAAGCAAATAGGTTGGTGAGTTCTATGTCTTGCATATGGTTATGAGTTTCAATAGGGAACCACCTCAAAAGTCTTTGGTTGGTGCACACCAATCCCCATAATATCCATTAGAATTCATTCCCGTAGTTGAATGATGCGCTTGGGCCAGGACCTTGTTTACGTGGCCGGCACTTTTAGCCTCTCTATGGACGCCACTCCGGCGCAGGCGACGAGTTCGAAAGCATCCATTGACACCACGAAGGGACTTAAAGTTGCCATCCTTTTCCGCAAAACCAGCCTATCCTCCCATTTGTTGGGAGTGGCTGAGATTTGGCCTTTGCTGGCTTCAAACATCATATGTGTGTGCCACATCAAGCTGACTTTCCTTTCCGTTGTGTGATGTTTGTTGGTTGGAACTATGCGTGTGTCTCTATTGAAATGAGGAGCCCAAAATGCTGGTTCTCTTTTGGCTTCCCCATTGAAAGCAAGCCCAACGGCCAACGCCACAAGAAGCTACCCCAAAACAAATGCGTTTGTTTGTGGAATTTCTGTGGAGTTTGCAGAACCAAAAGGAATGCGCGGGGGGAAGCCTCGCGGATTGATTGTGACTCAGTATGGGTTCAATGTACCCCACAATCCCATTCTAGTCTTCCATGTTTCGGAGAGCTGACCCCATTTCGGAGTAAAACGAGCGCCCCATAGGCGCTTTACTTGGGGATCCCATTCATATTTCAGGCTTAGATTATCATGATCGTGTTTTATTTTGATTGTTGCTATTGTCATCTATTATGATTGTTATCGTGATTGGTCTTTGTTGTTGTACATAATATGGGACCGAGTGACCCCCCAAAACCGATAACTTCAAGATCTCCAAGGCCAAGCGAGAGGTTTCGGCAGTCCCTCATATTGTCAGGTTTCCCCAGTTGACGCATTTGGGTGATCCCGTCAGGTGGAGGCCGCCGCGCGAGTGGCGCTCAGCGCGGTTTTGGGGGTGGAGGCGGACCTCCTCAGCCGCCGGGACACGCACAAGGGCGGGCGGGGGGGGGGCAAAATGGCTGTGGGTCAAGTACCATTTTGGGGTTGCACCCTCCCATTTTAGTCTGTTTTAGTTGGGATGTTCACTGGGGGTACCGTAAATTTTGACCCATGGCGAAATGGGAATCCCCCTTGGGCCATGGTTTATAGGTTTGACAACTTCCAATGGGGGGGGGGCGGGGGGGAAAAGGGGCCTTGATGACCCTGTCACACGGACGAGGCTCACTGAAAGGACCTGGGCCATGGTTTATGTGGGGAAGAGTCCAACCAGAGGTCCCAGAAGGGGTCCATAGGTTTGACAACCCGCAAGGGGATGGAGAGAGTCGGAGGGAGGAGGGAGGAGGGAGGGGGGTTTAGGGGTCTGGATTTCCCCAGGTTGGTTGGTTGGGTGGTTGGAACGGGTTGCGTGTGTTTTGTTGTTTTGTCGGCTGCCCCTTCCAAGGCAGGAGGTGATTTACCTGTTTCCACGCTATTCACCATGAGGACTGCTTTGCTCGTGAATCGAGAGCAAGACAGCATGCTGGCTGTTGTGTTGGACGGGCGGGCTTGTTGGTTCACCAACGCACCAATGACCAAGAGTTCCAAGCGGCCAATGCCAACACGAGAGGGATCACCCGAACCCATTTGAAGGTTTCAAGGCACAAAAAGGGCCGTGATCGCGTTTGGGGATCAAGGATAGTGATTCCTCATGATTGACCAGTCTGCGCTGGGACTCAGCCGAGGCGTGACCATCAACCTGGCCCGCCGACTCAGCGCCGGTGCAGCCGGAACGGATTTCATCGTGAGATATGCTGCTGGGCCAGAAGCAAAGCACGCCCTGGATACTGTTCCACTCACTGGTTGGATTTGTCGGGTGGGGGCCATTGGGCGTTGGCCTGTTGAATCTGCCAGTGTTCGTTCCATCGCGGTTGCCGGTAAGTTTCAACACGCAACATCTCTGCAGTGTTTGCCTCCAAACTTGAGCTGCAGCGCAGAGCTGGTGTGAGCCCAACAAGTAACATGCCAACACACACCAGTAGCTTCATATCGCAGTGGCAGAACTGCTTATTGAATCCAGGTATCTTGGTGCAGCCAACACCTTCGTCCTCGTTACCTGGGCCATAGGGATGGTCCTCAACCCACAAGTGGCTAGTTTAGGCCATCCCTAACAAGGTTAAATGGAAACAAACACCTGCGACAAGGCGGTGTCGTACCCTCCAACCCGCAGAGCTTCTGTCGCGCTGACTCCAGTCGAATCCCTCGATGCGAGTGAACCAACCTCATGGAACAAACCCACCGTGGTAGATTGCGGCACGTTGGAGGGTTTCCTGTGTTGCCCTTCTTGCAGTAATTATGTGGGTGTATAAAAGCCACTAAAAGGCGAGCCACTTTTTGCAGAATTGAGTTGTAGGGAAACCGAGCGGAAATCATCCTCCACAGTTCCACCTTGATTGAAAACGCACATCACGTACATCAATATTGTGGTATCGAGTGGTACCACCCTATGGAGACAAACTCCTCCATAAAGGTTGCGTCCTTGCGTCCACCCGCTGTTTTTTGTTTCCCGCTCCCAAAACGGACTTTTCTTGCACGAGTTGTCCATCCCAGGTCGGGCTCCCAAATCACGGATCCCAGGCGCTGCCTATGGCGGAGAGCGTGCTGCCTCTGGCCGCGGAGGAGAAAGACGTGGCCCGAGGGCCCGAGGGTCTGGGAGGGACTGGGACTGGTTGGCTCGGGGTGTCCTTTGTGGGTCGACTTTTGAGAAGAGACCAAGCAGAAAGTCACCGACCCAGAAACGTTGTTCTCTGTTTTGAGGGCCCTCTATTTTTTTGCGAGTTTTTGAGCTGACCCACTTGTCTCAAAATAGGGGGACCCCAAAAACGGTGGTAGCCTCTTTGTTTCCTGTGGTATCCTCGAACGTACACAGCACACATAGCGAGATGTTCAATGCTTGAAACACTCTCAAAATAGTTGTTGGACAAGCAACCCTACAAACATGATGCCCACTAAATGATACTCAATTCAGAATCACACCCTTTCGGGTGATAATCTCATGCTGCGAACATATTCAACGGGATACGGGAAGCTTTGGTGGTGACATCTTTGGGCAACTCACGTAGCAAACTCAAGGTGTGCGAAGGTGTCCTTTGGGACTCCGCAAAAGATACCATTGGGTTCCGCGTTTGCGTAGATTAGATATGTTGAAAGATGTTGAAAGTATATTTTACATGATGACATGACATCATGACAATGACAGTGGTACGTATATATCAGGGGTGGCGTTTTTCAAACCCATCGGCTTTCAGTGTAGTACAGAGCCCCTGCTTGCCCACTAAGCCAATGTGGAAGATCATCGTTTGGCTGCGATGTTGTCAGCACACTTTATCTAAACCGAACGCCATTACACATCAGGTCATTGCAGTACGGAGCATTTTGTAAAGATCTTGGGTCCAAACATGTTGGGAAGAAGTTTAGACTGTTTCCCGCTTTGTATACAGGGAGAGCTTACGGCTGAAATACCCAAATCCTGACTGCTTTTGATTTGAGGTCGCTGCCGGCTTTGCCGAGCTCCTCTCAAAGGACGCATCGGGCTTTTGCGAGATTCGCTCCGTTCCACACCCGCATCCGTGTATGTGCGTCCGTCCGCGAGTCGCAGGCGTTGAAGTAAGTGCCTTTCCGCAGAGGACATTTGTGGACATGTTCAAAAGTATGTTTACAGATTGATGAAAGTAGATGCTGCAATTGCTGCATGGTATAGTGCTCCCGTGTACTCACCCACATACAAAGGAGTGGTGCCATCTACTGTCACCCTGGCGTAAGTTGTAAAGGGAATGACTTCACGCTAGATTGAGCCGTGGCAATGCATTTGTTTGGTGTATCATGGCGTTCCCTTGGAGGTCTTGAGCCACTAAAAAGTCCCTGAAACATGCTCCCTGCTCGGTAGCCTTTCTTGATTGGAAAAGTAAAGGAACACCAGCCCCATTTTAGGGTTGAAGGCAAACCCAGGGAGTTTCTCAACCTCTCTGAACAAGATGCCCCAAAAGTCATGCTCCAACCCTATTTGCTTTTTGAACATCAAGAACACTTCTTCCAACCTTCATTGCTCGGGCTGCCTGTGAATTTGCACTAGATGGAAGTTTGCGGTTCAAGGGTTCCAGGTTTCTGCTAGAATCCACTCACATAGCTGTTACGAGCAAGCATCAATACCATCAAAAGAAAAGTATCGACCATGAAACCTTTGAACATGTGCAGCCTGGCTAGCCTTGAGGGATGACAGATGGCAGGAGCTCTGTGGCGATTGCCTGTTACATCTGCGAGCACTGGAAGGCACTTCCGGGCACGGGGGAACGGACCCTACGGAACCCTTGCCCATACACTTTCCCTTTGTGGATAGTTAGTGAATTGGTAAGAATCATGCATTGAGGGCGTGCCTTCCACATTTCTCCCAGTTGACTACCCTTTTGCGAATTGGCTTGGAAGCCGAACAACGTCCTCATACATGCCTCTCAAATGGTTTTGTATATCTCCTGGCCAAGGAAGCACATCACCGGGTGCGGGACTGCGAGACACAGGGACACACAGTCGCGCTGAACCAGACATGTGTTGGGTGGAGTTGGCATCGATATTGACACTCTGATGGTATTCAACCTCGACATGCAATCGACTCTGAACACCCGGCTTCGTCTCTCTAGCTATTGAAGCTGCGCAGTTGGATGGAGAACTATTGGGTTCGATCTTTAGGCTTTGCCTTTTTGGGGAATCAAGCGGTTTTCCACTAAACCCCCGAAAAGTTAAACTTGTTGCAGGAGGGTCAACAGCAACCAAGAATAATGCGTGCTTGCTAGGTGCATACAACTGACATGTTTTGATCAGGCATGGCTTTGTCAAGGCATGCATCACCCAAGAAATACCGAAAGATGTCAAGGACATAATATGCTTAAGATAGATGTTTAAGACGGCCATACAGAAAGCCAGGTGCGGCTGGAGGGAAGTCAGTTTAAGTTGTTCTCCATTCGAGACTTGGACGTATTGACCAGGCAAACTGTTCATGAGACGTCTTTGTGTGCAGCTGGCATTTATCGGCAATAACAATCTAGGCAGCACAAGAGTGCTTACGGAGGTGTCCATGCCCAGACACGGTCTTGCAAAACAAATACAATGTAGTGCTTATTGCTCACTGATGCTTCAAACTGAGACGATCGGACCTGTGAATCGTTAATTCTGACTGACCTGTGTGCGCTCGTTCTTGCTGGTTTATTGCACTGTCTTTATCGTACTTGCATTGCCGTGCCAGAGGGAGATCGCTTGCCAGCTAGTATAAGTTTTGAAGCAAACCCGAAGCGGGCCGCAAACGGTTTAGCCCTACATGCCCTTTGTTTAAGAATCCTTCTTTTCAGACAATTGCCAACCACCCTGGGCAATCTTGAGACAAGGGAGACCCACCAGTCGGTGCCACCAGTACAACTATGCTGCCTCATTTGCTCAGTTGAGCATGTCAATAACTATTGGATGTGCACCTAGCACGATGCGAAAAGTCCCCTGCGGTTATTGTCAACTGGGACATGGCAAGCCACCAGATCAAGAAGGCACCTCACATTTTTAGGTGTTCTGACTTGGCCGTGTCAATCTGAGGGCACCCTGTTTGGGTTGCTTCTTGAAGCGAAACCACCAGGAAGCCGCCCATTTTGGGAGTTTCCCCATGAGGCAAATGCAATGTCTCCACAGGTCTCCATGTCGAGCCCCAGATCATCATGGACACTCAGGCCTGGCTTCGGCTGGCACAGGGACCAACGCTGATGGGAATTTTGAGAGGAAAGGAGCCCACTGTGGATGGCCAGAAACCTGCACCTGTTTGAAGGTGGCGTGTCCCAATAGTAGAGTTTGATATAGCCTAGGTAGTGCAGACTTGTTTGGAGTCGTCCACATCTGTTGATTGAGATGCTTTTAACTCTTCTTGCTTTCGGGGGACAGCACCTGACGCCGGATAAAGCATGCAGTCAACCCTATTGAGTGTACAGTGTTCGACCCGTCAGGGCAAATCATTTCAATTGACATGTGTTGAAAGAAGGCCACCCGGGTCAAAGGTCATTCAAAGGTGCAAGCTATTGCAAGCTGCAACCATCCTCAGATGAAATAGCTTGAGTTGGAGATGGCTTGTTCAAGATCAACATGGCTTCACGCCTGAGAGGAACAGGAATACAGTGCACTGCTGATTCCTGAGCTGATACCTGGGTAGCTATGTCAAGATGCCAGCAGTGCTTCTGGTGCTTGCCCTTGGATAGTACGTCTTGGAAACAGGAAAGCCACGGCTATGAAACTTTGGCAACGCATGTGCAAGTACCCTGAACATAAACATGAGGTCGACTTAATCTGGCAAAGATTGGGGAAGCATGGAATCATGACATGTGTATGTCCAATGTGGTTATTCAACCTCCTACCATGGTTTGTTTGGTGAAGCAGATCCCTTTGCTACCAGCAGGGCATAGCGCATAGCATTCGCTGATCCATTGTCTTGCGAAGATTAGCTTTCGGTGTGTTTGGTGGTCGAACGCCTATGACCAGTTTGATTGTCCTGGTTAAGTACAGTCTCAGTTGTGATATTATGTTCCCATTGCATGGGTCTTGCTATGCGGATCGACATTAACCAGATGGTGTTTCTGTTCCCGCCGGACATGCAAACCATGCAGCTGCAAGCTGAACCCAAGACGTTGGGGAAGCTCGCCACGTGCGGCGAATCTGCCGGGGCGTGCGGCCTACGAAGCCCTTGGTTCATCGGGCTGCTGACGTCAAACTGATCAGTTGCTGTTCAAAGGCGGGCTAACATAAAGTCAGGTTCTAGCACAGGTCGGTATTTTTTCCAACTTTCCAAGGGTGCGTGTTTTTTTTGTTTTTCTAGATAAAGATGTGTGCTTGATCTGTCAGAGCATTGGGGCTTCCTCTTGGGCGGCGCCCCAAAAGAATGGCTTTTCTTTTGGCGTCCCAACCAACTAACCTGACCTCAACAAACATTGTATGTGTGTATATATATATTCGTATGATATGCAAACCATAAACAAGTGCATCACCCACAGTCGGACGCTCAAAAAGCACATCGCAGGAAGACAGCAACCAGGCCATGCGCAAGTGGCTGCTGGGTGAGGCTTGGCCGGGTGAGGGCAAGGGGGACCTAGCGCAGAGGGGGTTAGGGAGTGGCAAGCAACTTCCAACCAAATTGGAAACCCTTTACAATAACTCGTTTATTCATTTCTGCGTGTGCAGATTTGTTATTCCTTTGTTGCATCCTCTCCGTGCAAGTCAAGACGGCAGGTTGCTGTATGACTGTCCACAGGCTGGAGGTTGCTTTTCTTTGTCGCTTTCGCTTGAACGGCCAACAAGCAGGCCAGACCATGTAAGGATTAATTACTCAGGAAGCCGTGACCCGCAAAAGCAAGGTTTGTCCATGGGACACATCCACAGATTCCTGGAAGTCCGTCCTCAGTGACTTGAACTTGTCAATTCCGGGATTCCACTTCGCCTTTCGGCAGCGATGTCCGGCAAAAAAAAGCCTCAGCCAACAAAGTCGCCCGCTTAGGTCAGTGGCAGCCTCATCCTTTTTTGTTTCGTTTCCACCTGGAGTCATTTCAGATGGAGAGAGGATGGGCATAGGCCTTGTGGCTTGAAAGGGTGCTTGTTCCTCGTTTCTTTCCGATCCTCAGGATTTATGGGATCAATTTCATTCGAACGTTTGGTACTAGTATTTCATGGAGACCCGGCAAAATGCCAAAAGCAAGTTTTTTTTGGTTTTTTTACAGCAGCTTGCTGAGTGCAGTTTGATTCCGCTGGCCGTCTTTGCTGGATCGCCGCAAGGCAAAACCAAAGCGGTTTCAAAGGTGGCCCTCAATCTGATTGGGCAAACTATGGCGACCTCGCAACGGGGGCTTGCGACCTTGCTGACAATTTAGCTTGCTTTCATAGGGAATTATTGTTTTGGGTTTGTGAACCATCCTGCGTCTCAGTTGCCTTCTCCAGATCTCTTTGTGGCCAAATTTCCGGAAACTTCCCCAGATCATGGGAGTCTTGGACTTTGGACCATCCACAGTAGCACGCTAAAGACGAGAATTGACGGGCCAGGCAACCGCTAGGAGTTTTTTTTTCTGCGCGAAAAAAGAACACGCGAAAGCCAACACACGCGAAAGCCAACACAGAATCGCCGTTAGTAGGAATCTACTTTCAAAACTCGGATCCAGTTGATGCTGTTTTCTTGTGGGGTCATTTGATGGCGTTTGATGGTATCCTTCTTGGGGGGCGGTTCTAAAGGGAAAGCGATAGGCGAACCACTCTCTTGCGGTTCCAGTTTAAGACAAATGTTGCAGTTAAAACTTAATACCACCAAATTTGTTGTTCCGCTATGTATTTATGGGTGTTGTGGTGTGCGGTTGTTATATATTTGTTTGCGCTCGCAACTCGCCAGGCAGCCACACCGCGACGCCTGTCAGGCGCGTTGTTTTTTTTTCTCCGTGTTTTATTCTTTTTTTTCCGGCGTTGTTAGATCAAAACCTAGAGGTTCTCCTGATTTCCAAAGGAGTCTAACCTCAAAAAGGGGCGGGCCTGAGGTTCAAAGCCTTCCAATGGAGACCCAGACCCCTTGAATGGAGGGTCCAAGGATGCTTAGGCTGTTTAGGGCTTGTCGTCAAAGCAATCGTCGCTGCACCGCCTGCGCTCAAGAGCCTGTTGGGGTCGATTGGGCTCCTAGCACAGGGGCAGATGGACTTGGTCTTGGCAGGGCCTGGGGGTGATATTTACATTGCCGGTGTTGAGGAACCACCTATGTCATCTGCAGAGGTCCTTGCTTTTGGGTGGTTTAAGCACCATCTTTTGGACCACTCGTGTGCCAAGTTTCCGTTTCCTGTGATAGGGCCACGATAAGCCTGTTTCTTGAATGGTGTAGGTGCGAATCCGAGCGAGGACAGTGCCTTGGCAGCCTTTCATGGGGAAGGATTGGGGAGGGCACATGGCCCAGAACAAGCTGTAGCTGTCACCAAAAGTGTGAGAAATGGAGCTAGAAAATGTTGCATCCGCTTTCCAAGTTACTCATTGCGATGCAGGGATCTGCTTGGCTTTTTTGTCATCCTTCATGGGACTGCGGCCATGTTTGAGTTGTACAGCCACAGGCAATGGATTTTTTACCTCCTTCGCCACGTTGACTAGTTCTAAGTTTGGTTGTCGCAGGGTGCTCTTTGTGCTTGCTCAATTGAGCACGTCTAAGCCTTTGACTACCATTTAACTACCTACACTTACCGCTTGTGTGTTGTTTGTCGGTTTCCTTTGACACCGGTAAGGAGGTTCCGCTCCTTTTTGTTTGCCCAAGGTTCCCTTGTTTGTATATGTCAATATACGGGGATTCCCCCAAAAATGGTGGCAGTCCTGTTGGTGTTCCTTCAAACCAAGCCGCACCGACCCCAAAAGCAGCGAGTGTCGGGTCACGAGTTCGACCAAGGCGACGCTGAGGGCAATGACACCAGCATGGGCTGGGATCTCACGAACTATACAGGCCGGTCGAGACTTGTTGGCGTCATACTGTATCTCGGAGGTCCTGATATTTCCGGCTTTGGCCAGCTTCAACATCACCCTTTTGGTTGTGTTGTGAGTGTACTGCAAATTTTGTTGGAGATACATAATCGACCTATGGTGGCCTTCCCCGATATATCAAGGTCTCCATTTGTTGGGATACCTGCATGCGGCTCAGCGCAAGTGACTCAAATGAGTGCAGTTGTTTGCCGGTACTCTCCCAACAGCAGCCGGACATCGTCGGACAAACATCCCCAAACAGGAATGGACTTAAGCATCTTACCTGAGGATCAAGCAAGCAGGGTCTGTGAAATTCTCACAAAGATCCGTGAACAATTGCTCCGCGTAGAGGAAAATAAGATGAGGCAGGATTGCCACGCCAACGCTTGGGAACTAAAATCACGGCTGTGGCCCCGCATTCGCCGGGCCTGGGTGCAGCAGACATCGCCGTTTCCAAGAGGGTTGAGCATGTTGTTCACAGACATGATGCATGTCGGCGCTATCTGTGAGCTCACAATGGAGATGGAGTGATACTCATGAATATTTATTCTTCCTTTTGATTTCTCAGCTACATTAACCCAGACCCCTGACCGGCCCAACCGGATCACGCTAGCCAAGCTGCTGGGCTTGCCGTTTTAGCTGAGGCTGTAGCAAAGCATCGAACGAGTGCGGCAGGCGTGTAGGAGGAGTACATTGGGCTAGCCTGGCCGGCAAGATCTCAATGTCCGAGCAGTATCGAAGCTGCTTTTTCAGTGCTAACTAAGCCGGCCGAGCACTCAATGGGTTGATGACCGATGTTGAGCCACCTGTTTAAACATGATCAAACCATTGTTCAGCGTCCAGCGTCTATGTTTGTTTAAGCCAATTGTGCCCAACCCTATGTCCATCCCAACCCTTCATCCTGTTCGTTCAAAAAAAAGGAAAAAACACCAACCCTTTTCCCCCCCCCCCCAGCACCCCTACCCCCCACACCCCGGGGATCCCCCGAACCAAACCTCGGCGAGGCTCCGCGGAGATCTCGGGCTCCCTGCGCTTCAGCCTCGAGGGCGCCGAGAAGTCCCAGGCCAGCGCCCGCGCGCCAAGCCGCTCGCAGAGTTGGCCGAGGACGTGCCACGAAGTCGAAGTCCGTTGGCTAGGGTTCAGGCGTTCAGGTTCAGGGTCATCATTTTGGTGTTTATCTTTCGGCGTCCCTCACAAACCAGATTGACTAGGTCCTCCAGCTAGGTGCCCTTTTACTTGTTTTTTATTCGGGGGAGGGTTCCCCTACTACAATAGACGACAGAAAAAAAGGTATACCCTTATTCTAACCTCTCTACAGGAGGACCTAGTTGGCTGAACCCGGGCAACCCTAGGGTTCACCCCCCCATGAAAAGCAGTGGTTGACCCAAAAGCTCCGTTTCTATTTCCGCGACAGCTGGAAGCTTTGGGGTCCAAAATGAGCTCTGGGTCTGGGGCAGCTGAAAGAAGGAGGTTTCATTTTGAGGGATTTAGTCTTGTTCTATTTCCCTTGTTGGGTTTTTAGGGAATCTATCACTACTGGAAGTATGTTTTTCCAGGGGACTTAGGGAAATGCAGATACATTTCCTGAGGGGATGTGCCTGTGAGAGCCCATCTTTTCCCGGACCGCACTTTTGACATTCGGGGACGGTTGTTGCCACGACAGCAAAAACAGTACAACAGGGCCCTGCTGAAAGGACAACCCCACTCAAGTGCCAAACATGGCTCTACCCGAGTGTGTCTCAACATTGTTGACCCCCCTCAAAATGGCCGCTTTCCTCAAGTTGCCGGTGTCCTCAAGTTACCCCTTAAAACGCACCATATCCGCCAAAAAAAAGATGATCCTCTATTTTGAGCCCCCCCCAACCCCCTCCCCCCCGGCCATGGGAGGTTTCCCTTCCTTTCCTCCGGGTGGGAAGCTGTCGAGTCGGCCAGGTGGAGGCGGCGGTCAGCAGCGCCCTCAGCGCCGCTTTAAACGTCGCGCCCGCCGCGGTGACCAGCGCATCGGCTTTCCTGGGCCGGCGCTTGGCGTCCACCTGGACGGCGGGGAGGGGCTGTGGGGGGGAGCGGGGGGGGGGCTGTGCGGGGAGGGGGTGGAGGAGGGCGTGGAGGGGGTGGAGGGGGTGGAAGGGGGGGATGGTTGGAGGCTGAGGTTGGGGGGAGGTTGGGAGGCGAGCTGGAGTTGGGTTGAGATGGTGGTTTCGTCCTTGTCCTCACTGAGGGGGTGTTATGGAGACTTAGAGTCTGAGAGACCATGTATGCCCAATCCTTGAGCCAGCGGACACTTAGAGCCACACTGGCACTGGATGGCACTGGCATCATTTGTGATGTATGATATTTGTTTTGGTGGTTGCGCAAGTTGTTGGTTCGCAGTGTTCGGACCGGCCGAAATTGACTCGTGCTTTTAATGATGTTGGTAAACAAGCGATGTGTGTATACGAACACATATGTATATACATAATATATATATATATATATGTATACATATAATACATAAACACGCACATGACTGTGCCTGTTCCATGGGGAGCGCCCTGCAATTCATGTCCCTCAAGTTGTCCCAACCTGAGATTCATAACCACATGTTAAGATATCCAATTCCCATCCTTTCAGAGGAGGTGCGCTGAAAACCAGCCGCAGAAGCAAAGATCGGCATACCTGCCTTCAATGCTTTCTAATGCTCCTTAAGGAGAGTCCCAGGAGGTCATATGATCCTTAGAGTAAGCATGTGGAATCATCACCAAGGAGCTGGTTTTGCTAAAGCGATTGCCAATGCAGTTGCCAACCTCCATTGAGGCTTGGGAGGATGTCGTGTTCATGGCAAATTGGGAATATTCACATCTCTTTCAAGGTGCTTACGCATGTTTTGGGGTGTGATGTGACGTCAGTCCTTGTGAGTTGTGTCGCACTGGGCAGGTGAGCTATCAGATAATTGTGGCCTTGGACGAGGCCCAGGCGCGATCGCCACGATTCGGCTGTCCTTCGCCATGACCAGTTGTGCCGTTTCGACTTCCACAAGCTACTTTCGGCTTGCACAGATGCTTCTACGTGCGTGTGTGTGTGTGTGCGCGCCTAAAACAACATATTGACCAGTATGTTTGTCCTATTGCGGCGTTGATGTAGCGACACTACGCGCTTGGTACAACTACTCGCGATCCATTGTATCAGCACTCATATGTGCTGCCTGAAGCAGACACACAATGGCATTTGCAGCCGGAGGTCAGCTGTTCTTGCATGAAGAACCCTTTCTTGCATTCGGTGACTTACTATATTGACTTAGACATGATGGTGTGTCATACCATGCCCAGTACGTATTTCCCAGATGTTTGGAAGCCTCTTATTCCTGTGGAGCTTTTCCCTCGGTTCATAAAATAAGCACGTTTGCCGTGAGACTTCGACGATTCGTAGGGTACCGTTCCAAGTCGGAGAATAAGTGTGGCAATTAGAACGTGGTGGCTGCTCATGTGCCTATATAGTCAGGGATTTGCTGTTGTATCGGATTTCACATCAGGTCAGAATGACCATGATGTACCCGCCAGATTCGTATAGAACCTTTACAACGGTGTGTTTTTTTGAATAAGGAATCTCCTTCAGGAGAGCCTTCTTGCGGAAGCTCGCGGGCGCGGGTCCGGTTTCTGAGAACTCAAAATACTCAACAGGGGCCCAGGAGTACTCAGTGTCTCGTTTGCCCCCTTCAGGCTGTGATGTCCGCCGCCTTTGCCATTAGCAACACACCAGCGGCTCGGCAAGGTATGAGTGGCGGTTTGGAGGTCTGTTCGCTGGGTGCTAGCCCATATATGGATTTTACCCGAAGGGAGCCTAAAGGGGATGGGCAGTTGTTAAATTGGTCGAGGAACAGCCCTCCTCTTTGAGAAAATTATGGGGGGTGGCAACCGAAACCTTCGGCAGGGCGGCTGGAATAGAATCCTTGTATTGTTTGTGGTTTGTTCCATATTAATGTTGGAGAGTGATTAATAAAGCCCCCCCCCCTCAAACGAATTGGGGGGGGGGGGTCAACAGCGGAAACCCCAAAAACAAAATGGGGGTCAGACTGGGACCTGCCTGAGTAGTCTTCCAGTAAGTATTGTTTAGAATTGGTGTAGTATTGGTTTAGAATTGGTTTAGTATTAGTTCAGTATTCTGTTCAGTCAACTCACTACAGTTTAGAACTGTTTTAGTATTGGTTCTTCTTCTTGGCAGGCTGCCCTGGCCATTGTTTTTTTCACAATTCCCTACCCTTAAACAAACTGCCTTATTGCCTTCCTGGGGGTTCCGTGTGCCACCCCCTTGAAAATTTGTCAGGGTGCATCTTCTAGTAAAGGGATTGATAAGGAATTTGGTGGTTTGGGACAGGAAGCAATCCAGAGATTCTGGACATTTCTGGCTTTACCTGAGAACAGCAGGGCTTTCTTCTTGGCAGGCTGGCCTGGCTAGTTTTTTCACAATTCCCTACCCTGAAACAAACTGCATTATTGCCTTCCTGGGGGTTCCGTGTGCCACCCCCTTGAAAATTTGTCAGGGTGCGTCTTCTAGTAAAGGGATTGATAAGGAATTTGGTGGTTTGGGACAGGAAGCAATCCAGAGATTCTGGACATTTTTGGCTGGACTCAAACGTTTCAAGCCTCAAAAATAGTCCATTCTTGGAAGGGAACATATTTTCGGGATTTCGGGTATATTTTTTCTGTAATACCTACCCTTTTTGCTTTTCAGGAGAGTGAATAATTATGAGATATTTTTTTGTATTCACTCCCCTTTATTAATCGATTTCTAACATTAGCGTTTGTTTGGCACGTCTTACAGACTACGGGTGAGTAGGGATATCTAATTTCACTTAAGTAGGTCCTGACTCCTATTGCGAGGGTCCCCTTGTCGACGACAGCCTTTGCGTCCTCAGAGAGCAAGAATTGAAGACAGGACACGGAACGCCTTTAACAGCAAAGGTCACTGGTGGCGAAATGGCATGCCAGCACCGTCCAACGGTCAGGAATCGTCTTTGGAGCATACCCACAACACTTCTGACGGATGCTTCTAGGTTCAAAGTCCCTTCAGCAATGCGGTCGATTTGCCTGGGTCGAGCTCTACAAAGAGACCTTTCGGCTAGATCGCCGCATCTGGTTTGGATTGCTTCTGACAAAGGGCTCAGAAGATCCTGGAGCTTTGTCACCGCTGCTGTCTGAGGCTGGCTTTGCATCTACCCTGGCCAAGACCTCAGAGGGCTCAGTTAGTTACAGGGATCTGCAACTGATGCGAGGCAGCACACGTTTGCCAGAGAGGGCGCTTCTCACATCTTATATCATCGTATGCTATGTGTGTACCGGCCTACCATGATTATTGCTTTCCGGTTGGCTGACATCTCGGCGATTGAGTTCCGTAAGAGAGTCGAATTTCTTTCAGCATGCATGTCTGAGAGCTGCGCATCAGGTTCACGTCGTACAGCTGGGTAAGGTTCGATTTGATTGCTTTTGCGTGTTCAGCTGCTGTGGGCGACCGTAGTACTGGCAGCGCAGAGCACTCAGCTTACACCGGTGGGATCTGATCGCAGATCACGGATTGCTCGTGATGATTGGACACGATCTTTTCCACTCCAGAGCAGGATGCTACAAAAGAACACATTGGCAGTTGAACTCATGTATTTGCAAGCCCGTTTGCTTGCCTCACGGCACGCGCTTGTTTGACACAATACAACACAACTTGTTTGGACCAAATGTTTGCAACATGCTTTTGTCTATCTCTGACATCCCAGGGAAAGCTCTCCGAGCCTCCAAAGGATGATCCACACAGAAGGGTGGAAACTTGCGTCACTCTCCTTTGGATGCAACACGTTACCCTTGTGACGATAGGGTCGAATAGGAAGTAAGGACATCTCTGCTTTTTGCTGGCACCCCCGGGGCTCGGAGAAGTGCGACCAGTGAGCAAGAATTGTTTCTCTTCCTTTTTTTTGGCTCGCCCTTTTTTTCCCCCAGTTGAATTCTCCTTCACTTTGTGCTAAGTGTAGCTGGCGATGCTAGCTGGTTACTCACGATCCTTTCGCCCGTGCATTTCCCCGCCACCCTGCCCCCCCCCAGCAGCCACAGCCCAGGCGGATGCGCTGGTGGCACAAGGCGTGCCCAGCGCCTCGGTTTCCGCCAGCTTCTCGCTGGACTTCTTTGCAGAGCCCACGCTGCGGCGCCTCGGAGAGGAACTTGCCTCGGGGCCTTGGGGTGTGTCCCAGTCGCTTCCTGAGTTCCTGGACTTTCGACTTTTGGGGAAGACCAGTTTAGTGGGGTAAGCACACAATTGTTGCCTTGTTGTTTTTGGCCAATCCACTCAGAAAGTGAGCCCAATCGGGCATGAAACCCCGTTTGAGTTCTGGGATAAAACACCTACCAACTGCACCGGGAGTTTGTGCATGCACAGTACTTGTTGCTTCCTTTTTGGTGGCTTTAACTTCATGGTGCAATTGGCGGAAGCCTTGATGCACTGGGTCACTTCAAATGGAACCCTCAAGGGGACAAGGAGGATCCTGTCTCTTCGATCGAACTCTTGCCGAGTGTTCAAAGGTGTAGCTCGGATCTACCTGCAAACATCGGGACTGAGAACTCTCCCAAGTTTGCACTTCCTGAGTCAGCGCGGCCACCAAACTCACTCCACTTTCCACACATCGTGGAATGCAATACTCAGATATTTGCTTGCAAGCCCTTCTTGAGAAAATACGTTTTCCCCCCTAAAAGTTGCAGATAACATGCCAGCCCACGATTGCTAGGCTACTTTCAAGCCAGACCTGGTCTCCTACCAAGACCATGGTTCACAAATGTGAAGTTGAATACATTCAAGGGCAGATTGCCCAGCAACTATAGGGTGCATCCCGACCATCCTGTCATTGGGCAGGATGGCGATTTGATTGAGTCACAGGCTACTCGACGGGTTCCTAAAGCACATCAGCGACGATGTGGGTCTCAAGGTAAATTTTCTTTGGGGTGGCGTCTTGAAGAAGTATATAGGGAGCCCTGTCAAACTAGGTTGAAGTCTATGTTTTAACATTGGTGTCCCTGTACACCTAAACAACCACGGCACGGACAAGGTGCCCTGAAAAATGGCACTTCTGGCGACCGGAGCCGGGGGTCAAACTGCGGACCCACACAACTACATCGCATGTGGGTGAAGCCAGATTGCGCACCAAGTGTGAATCATGCCAGTCCGGTCAACATTGCCAGCCTATCCCGATGGGGCTCGGAACATGGAGGATGAGTTCTGAATTTCCCCACAAACTCGAAAGCCTCGGCCCAGGCGGCTGAGTTTTGCCAGGTGAGAACATTTGGCCGGTGGGATAATTTTTGACTAGTTGACACCCAACCTTTGACCTTGTGTTCGCATATATGTTCGCATACTTGGGTGTGTCGTTTTGGGAGTTCGTACCCTGTTTAGGGGGTTCAAAATTCAAAAGGAAGCCAAACATATTGAGGGGCAACAGTTCAGCTCGCAAGCATTTGTCTGGCTCTCGCAAAAGCAGTGGCCAGTCGCAGGATACGGAATGGTCGAAATGTCAACTGCTGGCGGAATGGTTGGGGCATGCGCAAACATGTAGCAGGCAAAACATGTTGTGTTCTTGTACAACATCGACTTTCAACCCATGGAAGTGCTTTGTTGGCCAAAGATATTCCATTGGACGGGGAGCCTTCCCAACCAGCCGCACCCCAAACTCGATGTGTTGAACCTGGATTTTTCGAGTTTTTTTATTTTGATTACGGAATATTGACGAGTAATTAAGTGGGGTAGTATGGGTTTATTCATTTTTTCAGAGGAGTTGTTGTGGGTTAATTGTTTTCTTGAAGCAACAAACCAGGATTACTACAATCCAGGAATTGAGGAGCAACTGGAGCCTGTTTGTTTTCGGTTGAAATGTGCTACCTCAGGATAGTCGATGTCCTGCCAGAGACGTGGACGGTTCGCAATGGATCGCGGCTTGAAGCATCTATGGGTGGGTAAGGGCAAGACGCTTGTTTGATGGATGCTCTTCTGCAAACGGCCAAGCGGAGAAAGGTTCATTTTGTTTCCGGGGCAGAGAACGTGCGACAAGAAAGGTTTCGGTTTGCTTCATCGCCTTCGTGCAGCCCACGTAATAACTCTCTTACCCGCCCACTCTCTTGCAGGACCAAGACCCTTTCCAGCAGCCACATGTAAAGTTTGGATATTTGCGTGGAACCCCGAACCCCGAACCTTCAGGTTTCTCAATTTGAAGCATGTGCAACAAACTGTATGCCTCATTCTGCAAGTGGCCGATGCTATTGAGTGTGGCAAGCCGTTTTGGTGATGACTTTTACCATAAGCAAGGCGCAGGCAGAACATCTTTGTTCATTTGCATGCTCTTGTGCATTCTCACAAATCTATAATTCGGGAACTTGTTGAAACTACTGTGGATGGACAAACTCCCCGGTTCAAAGTGGTGCGAAATGGATTTCGTCCATCCGCACCATTGGACCACAAGAGCCACATGTAGTCCTTCGCCGCCTGGTGGATGGCTTGAACCCGCCGAGGTCCTTCCGGATGACGAACCTGCCCTTGTGTGGTCGTCAGTGCCTGGGCAGAGATCGAAAGATCGCGCGGGTGCGATTGGAGCCATCCACCTACGAAGACTTGCTAGGCTATAAGATGGTTCCAGTTATTGGGATTCGTCAATCAGATGCAGTGCGCATTTGTAACAGAACGTATAGCACAAATTGCATAAGTCGTAGTGACAGAATCTTATGTCATACATTAGTTTTGCTGAAGCCATGACCGTGCCCCAAATTCTTGTTCATCTCACAGCGTGCACCCCTGGCTTCATTCTATACAACCATAGCCTTGAACAGATGGCATATAATCAAACAGTGGCTTGACCTGTAGACAAAATCCACGCCAGGCGTATCCCAACTGTGTTGTTTCATCCATCCCAAGTGCAGAGCCACAGTGTCTTGGCTGAGTCAACTAACGTGGAAGTTGTGCAAGGTGTAAATTGCTGGCTTGGAGCTACTTTGGGAAGCGAAGTCCCGAATGCAGATTTCTTTCTTGATGCCAGTTCCAAGCCTGGAGATGATATTGGCACTGACTCCCTTCGTACAGTTTGTGGATATTGATGCCTATGACGCATCCACGGATGCGACCGAATGGACAACAAGTTGACATTCCAACCCATGCATCTGGTTCGGAATTCCAAAAAAAGGTGGAAGGCAACGCTTTGTCCAATTTGCGAGGCTGATAGGCACCGTTCCTGTGGGCACCACTCATCTGGTCATCCCCCCAGACTTTGCGACTTGGCTCTGGAAGGGGCTGGGGGCGGGCAAGGTTGGGGCCACGTTTTGCAACATTGTTGCGACAGCCAAAGGAAGGGTTTAAGCCATACACTCAACCAAGGGTTGGTGAATTGGCTGTTGGTTGTACGGGAGCATGGATTAGTTTTAGGCAAGCGTGGTTTAAAGATGTCTAAAGCAGGGCTTGGCCCAGCCCTGACCGGATGGAAGATTGTGGTGCTCTGGGAGCGATCATTTTAATACCGTAGCCGCAGACCTCAACTGCTGGACATGGGTATGTGTCCCAAAATTCGTGTGTTTAGCTTCCCGCCACACCTGAAAAGGGTACACACAAAAGCAAACACACTCACACACACAAAATCACACTCACGTCTTTGTGTTGGAGGAGCTCCCCTTTAAAGTCACCTTCCCGACAAAGGACGCCCTTCTTTTCCAAGACAGGTCTGGGCTAGAACGCGTGTGAGGCACAACGGAAATCCCGACAGTTTCTGAGTTGCATCAGGAGGCAGATTCCTAATGAGAGCAGGCACGCTTTGGTTGTGCCAGGCTAAATATTGCTTTCTGCTAGTTGGCCTGACCAAGCTCCCCACTGAACAAAAGTGAATGCCGCTTCCAGGGCCGAAGTTGCAAGGCTGCCTGCTTGATGGCACATCCATTCTATGTGTGCTTGTATATGCCATGGGTTGCAGAAGTGCCTCGACTGTCCACGCCATTGCAAGACATCCAGATCGATCATTTCGCTCACGGCTGTTTGGACCCTTGCTCAAAGAGTTCGCTTTTCATGGAAGGTTTTGGCTGGGCCTGCAAACAACTCTCGGGTTTGCTGGTAGGCTGCGGCTTTGCTAGCATGACAAGTGCTCACTTAACTGTCATATGACGTATGTGATTGTTGGATACTGAGTGTTGTCCCAGGCACTGAGGTTGAGCACAAAAGCCAATGCCGCACAACAAACTGTGTGATGGCAACTTCGAATATTTCGGGCTGTTGATTCAGATGAGCTTTTGAAAGGAACTCATCTCCATGTTGGAGACCACCTGCATTTACTCCTTTGCAGATCAACTTGGTACCAAACAAAACGTGTTGGGGAAATCACCCTTTGCAGGGGCCCCTGTGCGCTTTCTGTTTTCATATGCGGGGCATTTGGAGGGTTTGTTTAGAGATGGTCATTAGGGACCCCCCATACCCACCAGAAATGTTTGAAAAGAACCCTTCTAAGCCCTTGTAAGAAGGTTCTAAGACCCTTCCAAGGGGTTGTTTCGCGTTAGGTTTCTCCCCTGTGCGGCTCAAACCTGCAGCCGGGAGAGATGTCGCCAGCATGGCGCTTTTCCTGGCAGCGATAGCTGCATGTCTGCCATATACAGGCGCTGGACTTGGTCGGTTTTTATCTGGGCTACTTGAAGCCTTTCAGTGCAGCTTGCCCTGTGCCCTTTTTGGTGCTCGAAGGCAGCCTTTCACACCAACCTCTGGCGGGGTCCCCGTGAGACAGACTGCATTGCTACGGCTCATGGGTCTCGCGTTCGAAATGAGCGAACATCCTTGAAGGTTGTGTCCAGGCAAAGTTGAGTGCGCTTGGGCCGGTCTGCTTATGGAAGCTGAAAACAAGTTGTTTGACTGCTGGATCTCACGCCTTTGCCGGATATCGATACATGATGAGGCGAAAGGTAACGTCCTTCAATCGGAAGAGTTGTTGATTTCGTGAGGTTGGCTTGGTGAACCGAATTGCTGCTGACAATCCTCAGAGAAAATCACGTCTTAGGGGTTGTCCAGTTGTCCTTTTCCCCATGTTTGCGGGGAAGATGCACAGCAGTTTGCGCACGTCTTGCATTAGGAGGATGCTACCTCTGGGGATCCTGTTTAGAGGGACTGCAAAAATTACAGCGACACATTTAGGGGGTTCCCCGTTTGGAGACA